ACACGAGGCACGCCACTCCGAAGAGTGCAGCGCCGCTCGTACCACTCACGGATCCGCTCGCGGGAGGGGAGCTCCCGAACGGGAGAAGAAGTACTAGCACCAGTCCCAGTAGTACGTCCGGCTCGAGCGGTACCTCTCCGGAGGCTGCAGTACTCTAAGTACCACGCACGTAGCTGCTCCGAGGAGAGGGCTCCTCCAGGTGCAGGACTCCCAGACCTCGTACCTCCAGACGCAGAACCCCCAGACTCCGGACTCCGCAGCTCAGTACCACGAGGCTCCACACCCCCAAGCTCAGCACCCTCAAGCTCCACACCCCCAGGCTCCACACCCCCAGGCTCCACACCCCCAGGCTCCACACCCCCAGGCTCAGCACCCCCAGCAGGACGAGAGTCGACAGCTACCTCAACAGGCTCAACCGGGTCTACCTGAGACACACCTGAGGGAGCGGCACCCTGAGGGGGGAGGGGGTCTGCAACAGCAGCACCTGGCGAGAGGAAGAGAGGAGGGGGGGGGAGCGGGGCAGTGCGGTAGGGGAAGAGGCGGTAGTAGGGGACGGACTCGTCAAAAGTGACGTCCTGGGAGGGCAAGACTCGGCGCGAGGTGGCGTGGTAAAACTGCCAACCAGACGCGTCCGGGACAAAGCCGAGGAAGACGCAGGGAGCAGCACGGGAGGAGAGCTTGTCCGCAGACGAATCGCGAACAAAAGCTCGAGACCCCCAGACCCGGAAACGCGACGCATTGCCAACCTCCCCCGTCCACAGTAGCGTGGGCGAGGTCTCCGGCAAGGAGACACGGGGCCAGAGGTTGAGTTGATGCGCAGCGTACCGGACCGCAAACGGCCACAGAAAGTGGGGGGCAGCCGCATGGATCAAGGAGGTACGGGCGACCTCCATGACCAGGCCAATGCGGCGCTCCACAACCCCATTCTGCTGTGGAGAAGCCGGAAGCGTGAACGACTGCTCAATGCCGTGCTCAGCACAGTAGGCTGCCAAGAGGTCGGAGGAGAACTCACCACCTCTGTCAGAGTGCAAGCGCAGGACAGGAAAGTCCGAGTGAAAACGCTCGCTGAGCTGGAGACGGGCTCGGCGGATCCAAGGGATCAAGACATCAGGGACCTCACCCTTGGTGCGCAAGGGGAAGACCGAGGTGTAGCGCGAGTAGTCGTCAACAACTATCAGGAAGTACCTCTCCTGACCCTGACCACGAACGCGGGCTGGGCCCCACACGTCCATGTGGAGTGTCTGCAAGGGAGCAGTCGTCGGGGGGAACGAGGAGGAGTGAGGAGCGGCGCGCTGCCGTCCCTCGACACAGGGGAGACAGGTAGGAGCAGGCGAGGGTGGGAGGGGAGGAAGGACCCTGGGCAGGCCAGAGACAAGGTACCTGGAGTGCATGGCACGAAGCCGCTGCACAGACGGGTGGCCAAGGCGGTGGTGCCAGAGGACAGTCTCGTGTGCCAAAGAGCGACACGAGCAGGGGGCGGACAGCTGACCTGACGCGGACGCGGACGCAGTCGCAGCAACCTGGGGGGACTCAGTAGTCAGTGTGTACAGGTCCGACCCCGGCTGCCGAGTGAAGGTAGCCAAGTGACGGCCCGTACGAGCACACGTGCAGTGTGTCACGCGCTCGTAGGCAGGGGTGAACTGGTGAACACCCCCGTCCTGGAGTGCACAGCCTGCCACCAAGTTCGTAGAGAACGAGGGGAGGTGGAGACCTGACAGTGTGCCCGACGGGACCGCAGGGCAGGGAAGGACAGTGGAAGAGGTCGCAATGACCGGACCCCCAGAGGGGTCAGCAAGGGAGACAGCAACTGGCCGAGCAAGCGGCTCAAGGGCAGTGCGGTCACGAAAGAAGCAGCGAGAAGCACCTGAGTCCAGTGTGAAGGTGTGCAGTGCGGCAGTCGACGCAGTACCAAGGGGGGGAGACACACGAGCACCTAGAGCAGCAGCCTCACCAGCACCTGGGGTAGCCGACACGTGAGTACCTGGAGCGGCAGACGCACTGGCCCTAATGCCCGGGTCGGGCGGCACACACAAGTACTCAGCACCCTCTCCACTAGTAGACATCACATACATGGCAGATAGAATAGGATCAAAGTCTAGAGCATAGATGTCAATCCCCTTCTTCAGGAGATCAAGCCAGCGGGGCAGCTCAGTGGCCTGAGGGAACTGAACACGCCAAGCGTCGTCGAGACGAGAGAAGCAGCGCTGTGTGGCGTGCGGTCGTCCACACTGCTGACCAGTGCGGTCACCAGTGCGAATGACGTACGTGCAGCTAAGACCACCCCCACCCCCGTGCTGAGAGTACCACTCACGGACCTCCTGGGGCGAGAGAGTGTGCTGCTGGCCCTGGCCACCGCCAGCGCCTCCACGGCCACCACCACCGCTGCCACCTCCTCGACCACCCCAACCCCTGCCGCCGCCTCGTCCACCACCACCCCAACCGCCGCCTCCACTCCTGCCACCTCCCCCGCCGCTGCCGCCACCACCCCCACCGCTACCACTCGCCCCTCCAGCCGAGCCACCACCCCCACTGCCTCCACCGCCCCCACCGCCGCCTCCCCCGCCGTCACCGCCACTACCCTTGCCCCCTTTGCCCTTGCCGCTGCGGCGTCCGCTCGAGGCAGACGCAGCGCCGACCTTCTCAGTACCAAGAAGGTCGACAGCAGCAGCAGAGGCGACAGAGGGAAGAAGGGGGGAAGGAGAACACCCCTCAAAGAACGGGGTACGGGGGTCGCCACGAGAGGCACCTACAGCGACTATGCTAGCCTCAGCTGCAAGTAGCTCCTTCTCGAGGAGGGCAATGGTGAGCTCAGTGGGGCAACGAGCTAGGAAGTGGTCCCTGACAGCACGCAGTGTGTCAGGGAGGCGGGTGACTAGGTGATAGAGAGTGAGCCAGAGTGGAGGGGGGTGCGTGGCAAGGAACTCAGCAGGCATGGCGGCACGGAAGCGGGCCTCACTAGTACGGAGGTGCGTGATGAGGTCAGCGACTGTGTGAAAGGAGGCCAGGTCGGGAAACAGGTAGGGGAGGGAGAGACGGCCTAGTGCGGCAGAGGCAGGTGAGGAGTAGCGAGCAACTACAGCTGTGTACAGTGCCGGTGCAGTCTTGTGCTGACCAAAGTGCTCGCGTTCGTCTATCTGCAGGGAGTTGCGAATGGCGAAGCGAGCGTGGGCATCACGAGTCTGCCACTGTGAGCGAGCAGTGCTGTCAGCAGTAGCAGCAGGGGCAGTGACAAGGCCTAGGGCGTGATCGTACAGGGAGATGTCATCCTTGGCTGTGAGCTGTAGGTAGAGGTGCAGGTCATCGAGCCAGGTGTCAAACTTCACAGGGCGGCCCTCAGCATCGAACACGAGAACCTGTGGGCTAGCCATAGGAACAGTAGAAATAGCAGCAGTAGCGGTAGGAGAAGCAGGTAGGACGAACCAGGTAGGGCAGGGCGGCGCGGCTCGGTTCAGGTCGGGTCGCGGCTCGGCTGGGTGGCGCGGCTCGGCTCGGGGCGCGCGGCTCGGCTCAGGTCACGGCGGGGACGGGCCGCCCGCTCTCCCTCTTGTGCTGCGGCGGGAACGGGCCGCCCGGGGCCTCTGGGTGGTGGGCACGGGTCGGTTGGGGCCCTAGAGGGGCGAGCGCGGGGCCGATCGGGGCCTGAGCGGGGCTAGCGCGGGGCCAAACGGGGCCTTGACGGGGCTAGCAAGGGGCCGACGGGGCCTGAACGGGGCTAGCGCGGGGCCGACGGGGCCTGAAACGGGGCCGAAGGGGCCTGAAACGGGGCTAGCGCGGGCCCGATCGGGGCCTGAATGGGGCTAGCGCGGGGCCGACGGGGCCTGAGAGGGGCTAGCGCGGGGCCTACGGGGCCTGAAACGGGGCTAGCGCGGGCCGACGGGGCCTGAAACGGGGCTAGCGCGGGCCGACGGGGCCTGAGAGGGGCTAGCGCGGGGCCGACGGGGCCTGAAACGGGGCCGACGGGGCCTGAAACGGGGCTAGCGCGGGCCGACGGGGCCTGAGAGGGGCTAGCGCGGGGCCGACGGGGCCTGAAAAGGGGCCGACGGGGCCTGAAACGGGGCTAGCGCGGGTCGACGGGGCCTGAGAGGGGCTAGCGTGGGGCCGACGGGGCCTGAAACGGGGCCGACGGGGCCTAAACGGGGCTAGCGCGGGGCCTGAACGGGGCCTTAAAGGGGCCGACGGGGCCTGAACGGGGCTAGCGCGGGGCCGTCAAGAGGGGCCTCTAGGGGCGTGACACGCCGAGGCGCCCTAGGGCACGGGTAGGTAGGTAGGTAGGTAGTTACGTAGTGGTGGGCCCTTAGAAAATTTCGGTCCTAGGAAGGACCTGCTCTATACCATGTTGGAATCACTGAACAGGAATGAATGAACTAGCAATGAAAAGAGTACAAGTACCTAACCCTAGAATTGTGTACCCCCTATAGGCTAACCCACTGTAGCCTAAACTAACACAACATATATAATGTTTGACATGTAATGTTGTAAATGTTTTGTAAACAAATACATTATGTAGTTTGAATGTTGTGGAGACGGCGCTAAGTCAAAATGCACTTGTCAAACCGCATGTCCAATTCCGCAAATTCCGAACCGCCTAAACCCGAACCGCGCTCGAAAGTGATTGGCTCTTGACACATCCCAAATGTGTCCCCATAATGTCTCGAAAATGTCCACGTCAGTCCCGAAAAAAGTCTTCCCGAAAGAGTTCAAAGAGTCCTGCGGGACATAATCAGGACTCGTTGAACCGTCACCCCAGACTTCCCGAAAGACCCTTTTGGGATAGGGGTACAAAATGTCCCGAAAGTCTCTCGCAGGATACTTTCGGGAAGCTTTTGGGACCTCAGATTTTTGCGATGTGGTCGGTTGCGTGGAGCTGGTCAGTCCAGTAGACGACTCGCTACCCATGAGCGAATCAGAGTTTGCCACGGTGGTGTTACCAGCCCTGCCACGTCAGCTCAAGTCCCTGAATCTCTGCCCTGCTGCGTGCTTGCATCCGGTGGTGTTATGGTCTAGCCGCGCGTGTGGTGATCAGGAGATAACAAGGCCGAGTCATGATCGCGTGTGGGGGCACGCGGACGGCCTTCATTCTGAGCTTGCCGGATCTTCCAACATCCCCCTTCCGCCACCCCCTCCGCCACTTCCGCGTGCCCCTGCGCCCCCTCCTCCTCCTCCTCCTCCTCCTCCTCCTCCTCCTCCTCCTCCTCCTCCTCCTCCTCCTCCTCCTCCTCCTCCTCCTCCTCCTTCCGCTCACCTTCCGCCACCCCCACCCCCTCCGCGTGCCCCTGCGCCCCCTCCTCCTCCCCCTCGCGCCGTTCCTCCCCCACCTCCTTCCGTTCCTCCTACTGCTTCTGTCCCTCCTCCCTCTCCTCCTTCCTTCCCGCCTCCTCCCCTGCCTCCTCCCCCACCTCTTTCCGTTCCTCCTCCTGCTGCTTCTGTCCCTCCTCCCTCTCCCCCTTCCCTCCCGCCTCCTCCCCCCCCTCCTCCGCCACCCCCTCCGCATGCCTCTGCCCCCCTTCCTCCTCCCCCTCGCGCCGTTCCTCCCCCACCTCCTTCCGTTCCTCCTCCTCCTCCTACTGCTTCTGTCCCTCCTCCCTCTCCGCCTCCGCTCGCGCCTCCTCCCCCGCCTCCTCCCCCGCCTCCCCGCCCGCCTCCTCCCCCGCCTCGTCTCCCTCCTCCCTGGCCGCCTCCTCCCCCGCCTCCTCTTCCTCCACTTCCGCCTCTTCCTCCTCTTCCTCCTCTTCCCGTTCCTCCCCCGGCCCTCCCACTGCCTCCCCCCTTCCATTACCGCCCGCTTCAGGGCTTCGTCCTTTCCGACCTGAGCCTAAACTCCATCGCGGCCTCGCTCCCTAATCTCCGCGTTCTAAACCTCGACACGCCAGCGGACTTCACATCCACATGCGTCGAGCACGTGGCCAGCGCACTCCCGCACCTCACGGCGCTCTCGCTCTGGTCCAACGCCATCACGTGGGAGACGGTGTCGCTCCTCCTCGCGCTCCTCCCGTCGCTGCAGCACCTCTCCCTCGTCTCCGGAGCCTTGGATCCCCGCGCCTTTGATCCCCGCGCCTTTCCCCAGCCGGGGCGTGCAAAGGCTGAGCGCCGACATGCCCCAGCGGGTGCAGCAACAGCGGCAAATACACGCATGCAGGAGCGTGATGTGCGGACTCACGGCGGTCACTTCTGGTGCCCAGCAGGCTCGTCCCTCGCGCCCTGCCTCTCCTCCATCCGCCTCTGCATCTTCCACCACCGCTCTGTCGCCTGGAATCTCTCTCCCGCCTCCTCCCTCCTTCTCGCCCTCAGCAGCAGCAACAGCGGCAGTGGCAGAAGCAGCAGGGGCAGCAGCAGCAGCAGCGGCAATGGCGCCAGCCTGTCTGTCCCACCTCCGTCCTCCACCTCTCTACGCTCCTTCCATGCCCACAATTTCCCCGTGTCCACGTGGCATGCTGTGAGCCGCCTGTTCATCCACCTCACCACTCTGGACCTCTCCCGAAGCGAGTTGTCCCGGTGCCAGGCCCCTCCCTACGTCGGTTCAGCCGAGTGGAAGAGAAGCGAGGCAGTGCTGTGCCAGGCCATACGCCGGCTCCCTCTCCTGGAGCGCCTCGGCCTTCCCTTGGCTTCAGACGCTATTCTGCTGGAAATTTCGCAGTCCTGCCCGAACCTCACCGCCTTGCACGCCCAGCCTCTGGCTCGGTTCGTCCAAGTCGCCGGTGCTCCTGATGACTTCCTCTACCAAGTCGCCTCGTCTTCATATGCCTGGTCCTGCCTGCGTGTTGCCCTTCCTCCCGTCCAGCCTCATGTTACTGATGCCGGGGTGGTGGCCCTCGCGAACGGATGCACGCGATTGGTGCAGCTGAGTCTGGGCGGCTGTGTGAAGGTGGGGCCAGTGGGGCTGCGCCAGCTGGCGAGGAAATACGGGCGGCTGGAGGTGCTGAGGCTGGCGCGCACAGCGGCGGATGACACTGCTGTCGTGGCGGCGCTGTTCGGCAGTGTGAGTGGGCCAGTGATTGCTGCTGCTGCCCGTGCTGCCGCTGCCAGTGCTGCCGCTGCCAGTGCTGCCGCTGCTTGTGCTGCTGCTGCCCGTGCTGCCGCTGCCAGCACTGCTGCTGCTAGTGCTGCCGCTGCCCGTGCTGCAGCTGCCAGTGCTGCTGCTGCACGTGTTGCCACTGCAAGTGCTGTTGCTGGTCGTGCTGCCGCTGCCAGTGCTGCCGCCGCCAGTGCTGTCGCTGACTGTGCTGCAGCTGCCAGTGCTGTCGCTGACAGTGCTGCAGCTGCCAGTGCTGCTGCTGACAGTGCTGCCGCTGCCAGAGTTATTGTTGACAGTGCTGCTGTTGGCAGCGCTGCTGCTGCTGCCAATGCTGGTCCTACCAATGCTTTTGGTGCGCCACTGCAGCTGCAGCTGCCAGGGCTGGTTCTGCTGGACCTGAGTGGATGCCCTGGGGTTACTTCCACTCTCCTGCTCGCTCTCTTAGACGCAGCCAAGGAGCTTGCTGGTAAGAGTGAGATGCGCAGAGATGATGGGGCAGCTGCAATGGTGGAGGTGGATGGGGAGTGTGAGGAGGAGAAGCCATCTGCTGACGAGGGTGTGGGGCATGAGAAGAAAGGGAAAAAGGAGAGAGGGTACTATGGATTGCAGGATTTCAGGCTGCGGCGGCTGCTGGTGTCTCCTGAAGTGATTGCTGGGGACCAATGGAAGGGGGGCAAGGAAGGTGGAAGAGAGTGTCAAATGTTATTATAGGTTCTTAGGCTACAGTGAGTAGCACTCTAGGGAGTACAACACTTTTAGGGTTGCTATTTGTATCCCTTGTTTCCCTAGTTCACACATTCCGTTGTTCGCTAACTTTGACATGGTATCATGAGTAGGTGTCGATCCTCTCGCCTAGCCTAGCTAGCACCCTAGCGCCCTCCGCACCCTTGCGCCCTCCGCACCCTTGCGCCCTCCGCGCCCTCCGCGCCCTCCGCGCCTTAGCCTCCGCGCCCTCCGCGCCATCTCCGCGCCTTAGCGCCCTCCTCCTCCGCGCGTTAGAGCCCTCAGCGCCCCTAGCCTGCGCCCCTAGCCCGTCGCCCAGGCGCCCGCCCTAGCCCGACGCCCAGGCGCCCGCCCTAGCCCGACGCCCAGGCGCCCGCCCTAGCCCGTCGCCCAGGCGCCCGCCCTAGCCCGTCGCCCAGGCGCCCGCCCTAGCCCGTCGCCCAGGCGCCCGCCCCAGCCCGTCGCCCAGGCGCCCGCCCCAGCCCGTCGCCCAAGCGCCCGCCCCAGCCCGTCGCCCAGGCGCCCGCCCTAGCCCGTCGCCCAGGCGCCCGCCCTAGCCCGTCGCCCAGGCCCGCGCCCTAGCCCGTCGCCCAGGCGCCCGCCCTAGCCCGTCGCCCAGGCGCCCGCCCTAGCCCGTCGCTAGGCCCGCGCCCTAGCCCGTCGCCCAGGCGCCCGCCCTAGCCCGTCGCCCAGGCGCCCGCTTTAGCCCGTCGCCCCAGCCCGCGCCCTGGCCCGTCGCCCCAGCCCCGCAGGCAGCGCGCCGCGCGGGCAGCGCGCCCCGCGGGTAGCGCGCCCCGCAGGCGGCGCGCCCCGCGGGTAGCGCGCCCCGCAGGCAGCACACCCTGCAGGCAGCGCGCCCCGGAGCGCTTTAGCGCCAGAAAATAAATAAACAAATAAAAAATTAAACCCTAACAAAAAAAAAAGGGTTTCGGGTGGGGGCCTGCAACTGTCGGCCGCGTTCCTGCTTGCCGGACGACCTGCACAGTTGCCTGCATCCCGCAGCCGTCAGTACTGCAGCCCCTACTGTCGCACGTACGTTCCACTGCCAGTGGCTCTACTAGCGGCAGCCGACAGCCGCACCTACGGTCTCTAGCTCCGGCCGTTCCTACCTCCAGCCAGCCCTAGCTCGCCGTTTCTAGCTCCAGCCAGTTGTGCTCCAGCCGTTCTCGCTCCAACCGTTCTCGCTCCTCGCTCGTAGCTCAGTTTGCTCCGTACTCCAGCCGTACCTCGCCTAGTTTCACCTGTCGCTCCTAGCCTGCCGCTCCTGCACCCCGCTAGCTTTTATCATGGAGTCCACTAGGGTTCTCCAGCAGCAGGGACAGCAGCAGCGGCCGTTTCAGCAGTGGCTTCCGCAGCAGCAGGGGCGCCCTCAGCAGCTGTGGCGCCCTCAGCAGCCGTAGGGGCCTGGTGGTTCAGGTCGCGTTGGCTGCAGCAGCGGCCCAGCCAGCTGGGGGGCTCGTCGCGGTGGCCGCGACGTCGGCCCCTGCCAGTACCGGATCCTGACCGGCCCTGGCGCTGGCACTACCTGCTGGCGTCCTGACCACTCTGCACAGCGCTGCTACAGCCGCCTCGACGACCTTTACCGTGAGCGTTTTGGGCCTGAGTCGGCTCCCCCGATCTGGCCCGGTCTGTTTCGTAGTGGTTACCCTGTGTTTGATATGTCTATGGATGCTGTTTATTCTGTCACGTACGGATCTCTTGGCTTACGTGTACCTAGCTTAGGACCTTTGCCTGTTGCTAGTGTCGGTACTTGTGCTTTTAGTGTAGGTGCTTGTGTAGTCACTAGCCCGGCCGTGACGACTGCTGTTGCGTCGCTCTCCTTCACGCTGGACTCCGGCGCGTCTCAGTGCTTCTTCCGCGACCACACCACTGTCACACCTCTTTCGGCTCCAGTCCCAGTTGCCCTGGCTGATCCTACTTCAGGACCAGCAGTTGCTCGCAGCTCGACCACCCTCCCGTGCCCAGCTGTCCCCTCTGGTTTCCTCACTGGTCTCTACATCCCCTCGTTCTCTCGGAACTTGGTGGGTGTTGGATACCTTCAGGACCGGGGGATCACAGTCACTTTTCCTGCGCACGGGAGGACTGCGATCTGTACGGACTCTTCCACCGGGGCAGTTCTTGCCACGTTCACCAGAGAGCCCCACTCAGGTCTCTTCGTCCTGCACACTCCGCCCCCGCAAGTAGCTGCGTCTGGTCAGGTTGCTTCGTCCCCCCCGGTAGCAGAGTCCGGTCAGGTTACTGCGTCCCCACCGGTTGCTGTGTCCGGTCAGGTTGCTGTGTCCGGTCAGGTTGCTGTGTCCGGTCTAGTTGCTGCGTCTTGCTCGTGTCGGTCTTTCACCCACCGGACCGTCTTGTGGCACCACCGTCTTGGCCACGCGTCGATCCCCCGCCTCCGCACTATGGCTGGTCACCGTCTTGTCTCAGGTCTCCCTCGCGTCTTCCCGTCGCTCCCTCCCTCGCCTGCGCCGCCGTGCACTCCTTGCGTCGCCGGCCGTCTTCGTGCCACTCCGCACTCCTCCTCCCTTCGTCCGGCCACTGCTCCCTTCCAGACACTCCACTTGGATGTCTGGGGCCCTGCACCTACGCAGGGACCTGAGAGGGAGCGCTACTTTCTGGTGGTCGTCGACGACTTCTCCAGGTACACCACGGTGTTTCCTCTCGCGAAGAAGTCCGAGGTGACTTCTACGCTGATCCGGTGGCTTCTAGCCACTGAGGGCACTCGTGGCCGTCGTGTCTCCTGTCTCCACTCTGACCGTGGGGGTGAGTTTCGCTCAGGCATTCTTGCCGGATTCTGCGGCGAGCAGGGCATCGTACAGTCCTGGACGCTGCCAGAGTCCTGACAGCAGAATGGGGTTGCTGAGCGCCGCATTGGCTTGGTCATGGACATCGCCCGCACGTCCATGATTCATGCCCGTGCGCCCCATTTTCTGTGGCCCTACGCGGTTCGCTACGCCGCTCACCAGCTGAACCTCCAGCCGCGCGTCTCGCGGCCAGAGGCTTCACCGACCAGTCTTTGGACCGGGTCCCCTGGTGTTGGGTCAGCTTTTCATGTCTGTGGCTGCCTTGCGCTTGTCCGCGACACCTCTGCGGACAAGCTCTCGGCTCGCGCCGTCCCCTGTGTCTTCCTTGGTTTCCCGGTAGCCTCGGCCGACTGGTCTTTTTACCACCCGCCCCTCCACCAGTTCCTAGACTCCCGTGACGTCCGGTTCGACGAGTCAGTATCCTACTACACGCGGTACCCCTGTCGAGGTTTCCCGGTTCCCCTTCCCCCCTTTTTCCTCGCACCCTCTCTTCCCCCTGCTCCCGCTCCTCCGGTACCCCCACCCCCCCCTGGTCCTGCCCCGTCAGGTGTGTCTCAC